TTCACCCATTTTTTCATCTTCCTCTCTCTCTTCTCTTTCTCTCTCTCACTCATCACTCTTTTCTTTCTGTCTATTTGCCTCTCTCTCTCTTTCTCTGTGTCTCTCACTCATCTATCTCTTCTCTCATCTCTTTTCTCTCTCTGTCTCTTTCGCTCATCTCTCTTCTCTCTATCTCTCTCATCTTTCTCTGTCTTTCTCGCTCATCTCTCTTCTCTCTCTCTCTCTCGTTCATCTCTCTTCTCTCTATGTCTCTCTCGCTCATCTCTCTTCTCTCTATCTCTCTCTCTCGTTCATCTCTCTTCTCTCTCTATCTTTTTTCTGTCTCTCACTCTCTATCTTTTTGTCCCTCTCTCTCTCTCTTCTCTTTCTCTCTCTTTTTCTCTCCTACTATGTTCGCGTTGCTCACTCTCTCCCTCTGTCTTCTCTATTTACTGAGCTCCCTCTCGATTTATCTATCCACTACAAGAAAATGCACTTTTAGCGACCACTTTGTCTCTCTCTCGCTCATCACTCTGTCTTTGTCTCTCTCTCTCTCTCTCTCTCTCTCTCTCTCTCTCTTCTGTCTGTCTCTCACTCATTTTTCTCTCTCTCACCACCCATCTCCTTTACCACCTTCACCACTACTGCAAACACCATTCCACTGCCACCATTACTACCACTGTCACCACTTCACCTCTACGACTACCATTGCTACTACCATTGCCACCACTACCACTACTGCCACTATTACTACCATTACCTCTCATTCACCCTTTTCGGATAACTCACTGTGGCATGATGAAAGCAATTGTTTCAAGTGAAAAATGATTTATATTTACGAAAATTATAAAAATTATATAATTAATTATTATAAATTATTATTATATATAAAAATTATATTATTTCAATGCTTGAGTGTTGTGGGTGTGGCCATTGGTGTGTGTGTCATTGTGTGGGTTGGCTTTGGTTGGTAGTAGAAACGCCATTTCAAAAAAAAAAAAAAAAAAAAAAAAAAAAAAATTCATTAATTACCAAAAAATATATATTTTAACAAAAAATATTTTTTTTTGACGACGGCAACTCCCGTTGCAAAAAAAAAAAAAGAAAGAAAGTTAAACGACATTATTTTGTTATTTAAATTTCATTTCTGACAAAAAAAAGTATTTTTTATTCCCGCCTGTTTTTGTTTTCCATTCCCGCTCTATTCTCTCTCTCTCTATCTCTTCTATCCGTCTCTCACTCATCTGTCTTTCTCTCACCACCCATCTCCTCTACCACCTTCACCACTACTGCAAACGTCATTCCACCACCACCACTACTTCCACTGTCGCCACTTCACCTCTACGA